AAAAAATGGTGTCCACCAATATAGCTTTCAGAACATTCAACAATGCTTCTTAAAATGAAAAAGACCGCCCAATTTTATATCCAAGCTTCATTTAAAGACCGTTAGTATTTTTCCACCATATTTAAGAAAAACTATGATGTTTTTCATACCTTAGTTTTTAGTTATGGTTGAAAACTACAGATATATTATTGTGAAATTGATTTTTTAAACAAATAAAAGACAAAATGGATCATATATTTATTGGATTAACTAGATGAATTGACTGTATGTCATCATCGAATTTTGCTTATGGTTTCCCATTTGGTTGGAATGAAAGCAACCCATAACCTAAGAGCAAGTCAAATGGTGTAAGTTTTAGAGATTTTGGGCCCAATTTAGTGATGCAAGTAGTCTAATGAAGTCTCCAATTTTCTTCGTCTTTATTTTCTCGTTTTTTCCCTCAACACAATTGTACAAAAGAGCCTAAGGCATTGTTTTAAGGTATTTTTGGGCAAAAAAAAGTATAAAAGAAAAAAAAAAAAAAAAAAAGAGAGAAAAGTGCTTTTTAAGTAGAAAAATATTATTGTATATGATTGTGCCATATGATTATTCTTTATATAAAAAAAGGAAAAAAAGTGTAATTGAGGAGTTTTTTCAAACTTATACAGTCACTTCTTAAAAATCATATTCCAAACATATGTAAGTCCAATGAGGAGCAAACAAAGTAACAGTTAAAAGTTATCAACTAAAATCAATCCTATTATACTCTTAAAAGTTATCAATTAAAATTAATCCTATTATACTCGGATTGATAAAGTTTAGACATTCTTAATTTGTAGTGCACTATTTATAATTACACAGATTTAATTAAAGAGAGCAATTAAATATTTGGAGGAAGTAGAAGATATGGCAGTAAGATGACAATCTCATGAATTGATGGATATAAATCATTATGCGTAAACTTAAAAAAGTTATTTTGATTTTTATTATTCTGTAATTTCTTTTAAAAATAAGTTTAGAAATTAAATATTAAAAAATGTATTAATTTGAGTAATTATATACCTTAAGCGTTCAAAAATCTCCCGTAAAAAAATGTATATATATTGAGCAATTATATATATTGACAAAGTAAAAAAATGTATATATATTGAGTAATTATATACCTTAAGCGTTCAAAAATCTCCCGTTTTCAAAAATCTCCCGTAATATACACGACAATTTGGAAAGCAAACAAACTATACGTGGCGAGGGAGAGATTTGGGTGCTAATTCGCGCGTGTGTGTATATATATATAATAAAAGCAACTATTAATAATCCTGTAACCTACTAAAAAAAAAGGTAATTAACCCTAAACCTTACTCAAACAAAATAATAATAATAATAATAATAATAATAATATATACAAAAATCAGCTACTCTCTCTACTGGTTGAATTGGGATTATCCTGTATGCCTGTGTTCTCTCTGTATAAGCGCTCTCTCTCTATATCCTCTACCTATGCAAAAGAGTAAAAATACCCCAATAGCCAATTTAAATGGTAAACGTGTGTGTGTGTGTATATATATGTTTTCATAACCTATAACGGTAGTAGTTGCAAACATATTTTTTCTTTGCTTTTGTCACATCCCAAAAATTCTAATACAAGAACACTTATCTTATATTAAAATTTGGTATGTGACTCACATTATTCATCCATCGTAATTTATGATTAAATCTGTAAGAATACATTTTATTTAAAAATCCACCAATCCAAAAGAAATCTATTACATCCCCAACTAATTAAAATTTCACCAACTAAATGAATCTTATTACAAAGTGTTTGCTAAGAAATAATAATAAAACCAAAATATGGAAAATCCGAAAATTTCTATCTCCCATTAAGCCTCATTTGCAAGATAAATCCATGTGCACTTGAAAGTGATAGAGGGGTGAGCTCACAAGCTCAACAAAAAATTGCTAAATACTATTATCGTTCAACAAATTAATCCTTACTTATAATCTGTACATATATACATTTATAAGATCACGAAATATTTACAAATCATCAACCTAATTATTAATTAAATTGACTCAACTACAATTGTGGCAACTATAATGTCATTCTATAACATTAACTCAAACTGTGAACTTGTAACCCATCTAGAATTTAAATTACTAAAAATTTCACTTACCTCACATGAGCTCTTGGCTCCCCTCAACCAGTTGGCATTATATTGCCATTACCTCACACGAGTCCCTGACTCCACTAAAATTAAATGGTTGAATTGCATAATCCTAGACTACCAACTACACACATGTAGCTGGGTTGTACGTCTACTTGCCCATATGGCCCCTGACCACGTCTACGTACTAAGGACATCTTTAACCCAATGGCCATAACAAAAGAGTAATTCACTCCCGTAAACAGTCCTGACTGCGCTCAACAAACTCATCATTGGGTAACTCCCAAATTACTGCTCCAACTAGTTTAATTACTTCAATTAAACACTAAATACATTTAATTTATTCTTACTCAAAATCACGAGTTCATCCAACACCTTAATTAATTAATTAATATTGACATACCAACTCATAGTCCTAATTACAATAAGTTGTAACTTATACTCTAAATTCCAACCTCAATATCATTAAATTCATAATCTATCATCAATACAAAGTCAACCTTAAATATCTAATTCTAATGACTCCAAATGTATCATAAACTATGGGCTTAAAAAAAAAGTTGTATGTACATATGTATGTATGTATGTATTCGTGGCTATATTAATTTATCACATACAAAACCTCAAAATCCATTTACTTCCAACACCACCTTCATCCTTAGTCTAAATCTAATTCATTCATTACTCTAATTAATAGATCACTTGAATTTTAAAGCGGTTTTTGCACCTACTGACATAAGTAAAATATATATATATATATATACCCAACAACAGAATGCTACCCAACAAATGGGCTTGTCCCATCTAGATCTTTTTATTTTTTTTTTTTGAAAGTTAAAGCAATTAACGCACATACCCTCCCTTCACCGAGGTTCAAACCTCCAACCTCCCTTTTGGGAAAGAAGGGGTGATACTGTTGGACCACTCGGTCCCATCTAAATCTTCCCTAGTCATAAGGAAGAGAGAACCTATTGCATTCATTACTTCCCTGAGTACCCTGATTCAATTCAACGAAAACTTGAAGTAGGGCCTATATGCATTTTTGGACTAAAACTTAAAGTGCCAATTGTTTAAAAGAATGATACTCGTCATACTTTGATTGCACCATATTCTCCCCTAATTCACCTACAATAGATTAAATTAAGATAATCTATTGCATATATACTTTATATGTAGAGGTCTATCCTAATCTTAATGTATAACGTCAACACCAGTTCAAAGAACACATCATGCCTAATATATGTAATTATATTAGATCAACCAATCAATTCAACTAAAATCATACACCGGCATTCTCTAATATACATGAAAGTTGAGAGATTCAATAACCAATCCTTTTGATATTCCCATAATCCAAACAAGGAAAACATCAATACCTCAATAAAAATAAATAAATCATTCTAATTCACATATATATTAACCATCAACTGAAATATAATTGAATTCTAATAGATCTGTGTAATCTCCTCATATAAGTCTAATTAAAAATAATTATCATGAGTTCTATAATTAAATCGTAGATAATCATCTTACTATCAATCACATAATTATATACAGGATATAAGTAAGAATTAACTTATCTACAAATACACTATTCGCTTGAGTAGATGCTGTCTTTGCAATATCAGTGAAAAAAATCCTTAAAATAGCTTGTATATGCCATAATGCACCGATGCCTGATAATTTCTATTGAGATACGATAGATAGAGTTTAGTCCATAAAGAACTCTTTTGAACTTTTAAAATACAAGATAATAATTTAATTGTCTAACTGAAAGATACGTTGAAAAAATAACTCGATTATGGATTCTATTCAAATGAAAGTAGAAGACATCCTTCCTTTGCAACAGCATCCGCACAAAGAATCACCTCGCTCAACGATAATCTAGCTTGTTCCTTCCTGGTGCAGTCAGAGAGTTCACAACATTATACGGGGCGGTAAATTATGTAAAACAATGTTAAGAAAATCAAGTTTCAAAACCCCCACCCTTCTGCCCTTTCTGGTGATAATTGGAGTGGGACAAAAGGTAAGGATTTCAATCCGAGTACAATACATCATATTTGAATCAAAAGGCAAAGATAATTTGAATCATATTGTACAACAAATAGAACTAGATGTAATTTGAATATGATACATGAGGAACTACCAAGAAAACTGAAAAGAAAATACCTTGATTTGAGAAAGAAAAAAAAAAATACAGATCAAAATGTGTATGAAAAGAACAATATGAAAAGCATATGAAAAGACCAATAGATTTGTCTGAATTCTCAAATCCTAAAAGCAAGGAATCTCCATATGCACTATTAATATATGACTTGTTTAAAAATATTTATATATATCTAAACAATTGAATCATTACTAGCCAAAGTTAAGCTTGCAATGTGACCAATTATATTTAAGCCTTGCTAAAAGTTTGGAAACTATTTAATTTTATATAAAGGTTAACAAAAATGTTTGACAAAAGAACAATCTAGTTGATAAAATGGCAAAAGAAGCATAAATATATTTTACCGAAACACAATAGACTTCCCTATTTCTAAATCGTAAGAGCAACCCAATGAATTATAAAATTTCCTTGGAGTGTGCATATGAACAATCACTTTAAGATTTGGTTTAAAATGTTGAGTATAAGCTTTGTCAATCACAACATTATTACATTGTTATCACTATATCCAAGTTTGGAACCTAATATATGAAGAAAAAAAATAAGACGTTGTTACAATAAATAAAAAAAGTATACATCTCAGGTTAATTTGAAGTAGACACCAACTGATATTCCACAAGCACATGTACATAGATATAAGTAAAGCTTATAAAGCATTAACAGAACTTAGTGATGGATTGGAAGTAGTACGTACATTACTGTTTTGACTTGACATCCACAATCCTTAAACCTCCTGTGCTTGCAACATCCTTGAGTGAAGAAAAGCTTGAGCTGCTGTAGGTAAATGCACGGCGCGGCGTGTACTCAACCTTTTCTTTTTGATAATTAACCTTGAGTGCGGTAAATCTCCCGTTTTTGGGATTATATGAAAGTAGAATATGAAGATCACTTTCAAACAATATCTCTCCATCTTTCCATAGTGTGATGGGGTAAAGACAGTGATGGGCCAAACTACCCTCCATTCCAGATGGAATTGAGGTTCTCAAAATTCGGACTTTAGTCCAAGACTCGGCTACTCCATACTCTTTCATCGACCACATATCAAGATAATGCCCGTTACAACTATAATTGTTGTCACTATTAAAAGATATACACAGACAATTTCCTAACACCCCCAATCCCATTCTACGATTATATGTATTATGCGTGAAGAAATTAGGAGGTGGGATAAGGCGAATCTGCTCTTCCGCAACATCAAATGAAAATATTTTCTTGTTAGCTTTGTCACCTGGAGTCATCCAATGAATAGCTCCATTCAAATTAACTGTCTCCGCCCTTTGTCCTGGGGGAAGAAGACGCCCAACATATCTCCATGTAACAGTTCCAAGAGTATAAACCTCAGTCTCCGAGTAGTATCCCGTGCAGTTTCTAATGAATCTTAGGACTTTATAATGCCCTGTTGTGGGACTAAATCCAAATAGGTATCGCACTCCAAATGGATTTGACTCTATTATGGGTTTGGGAAGGGCAACACATTCTCCCAAAATGGGATTGCTTATGTAAACATTGTGCGAATCGTTCAAACATATCAAGCCATTACAAGAGCCCACATTTTCCAGATGTGGGATAGACAGATTTGAGAAATTAAATTTGATTCTTAACCTCATTGGACCAACATAATTAGAGACCTCTGAAAGGTCGAGCAGGTAAAAAAATTCTTCATCCCTACCCCAAAACACAATATCGGTGGTCAGGTTGGGTCTGGACAGTCGAATCTTTGTAAAATAAGGATGATCTTGCAAGATTAAGTATTGCCAGTTCTTACAAACCCACCTGCAATTCAAGAGGGCAGTGGTTGGAAGCCTTGAAAGAATATCGACAACGATGGAGGACGGAAGATCAACAACAGAGCTTTCTTTTTCCTCTTCTATAGGTGGAGGACGGAAGATCAACAACAGAGCTTTCTTTTTCCTCTTCTATATCGACAGCGATGGAGGACGGAAGATCAACAACAGAGCTTTCTTTTTCCTCTTCTTCTTCGCGTCCGCGCCATGATTGACGTCGCAGTAACAAAGACCTAAAACAACGGAAAGGCATGGTTATAGAATGATTGTTGCATGCAGTAGAAAAACCCTAAAACACCATATCCTTATAACTTGGAGTTGGACGGTGGCAGTGACAAAGTGAAACCCGAGATCTAATTCTAAGTATATTATATATAATTTGGTTAACTCCGAAAAAACCTCATAAATTACAAAATGTGCAATTTTTTAAAAACTACTTTATTGTTTTCAATTTGTGCAAATAAGAACAAAATGCAAAATATCAAAATTATCCTTAAATTCATAATATATACTCTATATCTATGTCTATTACCAAAAGAGAGTTGAAAAGAAAATATATAAAGAATTTTAAATATATATATTGTAGTGTTCAACTTCTAAAATTATAGACTTAGGATCTAATCTTATAATAATTAGTTAATTGACTTTTTTTTTTTTCCTTTTTTTTTTAGAAACTTATTCTTTCTTTCCATATTATTAAATAAATATGGTTATAGGGAAATGATAGAACTGATAATTTATTAAAGGAAACAAGAATAAAACAATTTTACTACTCTTTGCCGGGCTTCTTTATCTTTCAAAATTTTCTTCCCCATTGCTACCGGCCATCTATTTAACAATGAGAAGCTAATAAAAAAATTGCAACCAGTAGCCAAAACCAAATAAAATTAATTAAGCGAGATAAAATGGCCATTAAATAAGATTGGTCGAGAAGTATCGATTATAATCCAAATTCAAATTTCAAGATTGATCCATGGCCATTGAATAAGATTGCTCGAGAAGTATTGATTATAATCCAAATTTAAATTTCAAAATTGATCCATGTTTTATACTCGCTTAATTAAAGACTTTTAATTTGTTGAGCAACTAATTTAGAATTAAGAGATGACTATTGACTTTCATAATTTTTTTAGAAGCGTTTAGCAAAACAACCCTTAATTCATTATTATATATCCATCTAAATGTTCAAAGTGTTAATCATGCCAAAATGTGTATAATATCATTGCACAATCCTAAGTTTTCCCAAAGTCCTTAATTTACAGTATTCTAATGGAGAATTATGTTTTCTATTTATTTACAATCATTTAGGTATATATTTTCTTAATTTGTTGCATAATTTATTAATAGAATTGATAAAGTGTGGGAAGAAACTACAAATGATGACTTCTAATTTCTCAATTAATTTTACTTGGTCAATTTGACAGTGGCCAAGTTGTTAGGAGAGAGAGTATAATGAATAAAGCTTGGGAGTAACCTTTGAAACGAAATCAATGAGAAATAAGTTTTATGAAAAAAGAAAGCTGACAGATAAATCGATTCTGTATTTTTCGACATAAAATTGCCTAAAATTTAATATATTGATGAAAAAATTGTATATATATTAAATAGATATTGAAGTAAAATTATTTTCTTCTTGTTTCCTTTAATAAATTGTCTAGTTCTGTCATTTCTTTATAACGATATTTAATGATATGGAAAGAAAGAATACGTTTCTTAAAATAAAGAAAAAAAAAAAGGTTAATTAACTAATTACTGAAGGATTAGATTCTAAGGTTATAATTAGAAATGAGTATATAATTTCTTACTCCACATAGCAATTGAACACTACGGTTGGGGTGACAATTCGTGTTTGTGAGTCGTGTTCGTGTCGTGTCATTATAAGGATATTATATTAAATAGGTAAATTCAAACCCAACTCATTTAATAATCATATCAAAAATCTCAGCACTAACCCGATCCGTTTCTTAAACAGGTAAACATGTTAACCCGTTTAATGACCTATTTATTAAAATGAGACATTTAATATTTAATCAAATATTAAATAATAGAAAAAAATTATCATAATTAAGTCAAATATTCAAAATAAAAAGAAAAATCATATGGCATAAGCAAGGTTTATATTGAAATGACTTAACTATCCATAATAATTGGGTTTAAACAGGTAACATATTACATAGGTCATAATCACGATTATAACATATTGAGTTAAATGGGTTATAAACGAGTTCAACTCTAACCCAATACGGTTAAGTAAACGAGTTATTCGTGTCGACCCTTTTATGATCCAAACTCGTTTATGCCAAACTCAAACCTTTGTAACTCTTGTCGGGTTCGTGTCGTGTTGTCATGTCGTGTCGTAATTTGCCACCCCTAACTACGTACTTTATAATTCTAAATATATTATATATATGGCTAACTGCAAAAAAAAATCTCATAATATACAAAATGTGCAAGAAACCCATATTGTTCGAAAAACTCCCTTATTCTCAATTTGCGCAAATAAAGACAAATCATAATTTTAGTAGTAAAATTACTAAATTCACCTTACTCTATCACTAACAAAAAAATAAAAAAGAAGCAAAATGCAAAATGTCAAAATTATCGTTAAATTCATATATGATTTTGCTTCATCGCCCCACAACATAACGATACTATCTCTCTCTCTCTATATATATATCTATATCTATATTATTATTAAAAGAACAAAGTGTTTTAGTACATTATTTTTTAATAATAAATTTAATTAGATAAGAAAATATATAACGAATTTTAAAAAAATTATAAAACTCTATCACAAATTGCCAAATTAGAAAAAGGAAACACTTTAATATATAATATTTAATATATTTTTTTGTCTTTCTAATTATACAAAAAAATGTATAAAGGAAATATATAAAGACAATAAATAATTTAGTCTTTCAAAAAGTTTCTATAAAACTCTATCACAAATTACCTAATTAGAAAAAGAAAAAAAAAATCTAATTAGTCTTTCTAATTAGGCAAGAAAATATATAAAACAAATATATAAAAAAAAAAAAATAATTTAGACTTTCTAATTAGACAAGAAAAAATATAAAGGAAATATATATAAAAATATATATAACACTTTAATATATAATATTTAATATATTTTCAAATCTTAAAGTAAATAAATAATTTAGTCTGTCTAATTAGACAAGAAAATATATAAGGAAATATGTATCTATATATATATATATATATATATATATATAATGTATAACACTTTAATATATAATATTTAATATAGTTTCAAATCTTAAAGTTCTATAAAACTCTATCACAAATTACCTTATTAGAAAAAAAAAAAAAAAAAAAATCTAATTAGAAAAGGAAACGTTTTAATATATAATATGTAATTATATAAAAGGAAAGGTAATTTGAGAAGGACATATTTAATATTAAAATATTAAAAAATATATTTGCCACACACTAATTCCTTTTCTAACTTTCAATTTAACACAAATTCTAATTATAAATAAATTCTTAAACAACTAAAATTGACCATCCTATTTCCCCTAAAACTAAATCCCTCCTATCCTATGTCTAGATTTTAATTTTTCAATATATGTTCTCTTATACTATGTGTAGATTTTAATTTTTTAATATATGTTTCTAGTATAAAATTTGTAATTTTAATGCTAATTAAAAGAATTTACTCTCTGATAGTCTCATATACTTTATTAACTGCTCTTATCCATCAATGTTTTTATGTGTTCATTGTCTAGATTTTGTAATTGTAATGCTAAAAAAAATTATTATTAATCATACATGTTTATGTAATGCTAAAAAAAATTATTATTAATCTTGCATGTTCATGTAACACGAGGAGATTACACAGTCAAGAGATAATTGCAAGAGTGACACCACCTTGTGAAGCTTTGCAGAGGATACTCATCCTACAATCATAATGGTACAATGATACATTACATATATAAAAATTCAAGTTATATTGATACTTCACCTATAAATATATATTTGTTTAAGCACGGGTTTTTTTTTTCTTCTTTTTTTCTTTTTCTATATTGAACAAGTTGAAGTTGGAAATCTTCACATAGATAAATCTAATTAGAGAAAGAAACATATAATATTAAAAAATTGAAATACTAAAATTCAATCAAAGAAAATCTAATTCAATAAGAAATTTAAAGTAATCAAAAACAAGTTGAAGTTGGAAATCTTCACATAGATAAATCTAATTAGAGAAAGAAACATATAATATTAAAAAATTGAAATACTAAAATTCAATCAAAGAAAATCTAATTCAATAAGAAATTTAAAGTAATCAAAAATATATTTATTTAATTCAATAAAGGAAAATATAATTAGAGAATAAAATACTAATAATAATATACTAGTAGGAAATAATAAAATTCAATAAATAAAAATCTAATTAGAAAAGAAAATGTAAGTATTATATGATCTATATAATAATATAGTAGTAGAAAATACTACTATTAATATTAGTAATAGGAAACCGAATTACTAAAATTCAATAAAAAGAATAATAAAAATTAAAGTTATATTAATAATTCACCTATAAATATATATTTGTTTAAGCATGAGTTTTTTTTTTTTTATTTTTTTTTTATTTTTATTTTTTCTATATTGAACAAGTTGAAGTTGGTAATCTTCACAAAGGCAAGTAGCAATTATTTTGAAAATCTTATTAAATCATTGTAGTGTTTATTTTATTTTAAATCATTATAGTGTTTTATTTATAATTAGAGAAGAAAATATATAGATATAGATAAATCTAATTAGAGAAAGAAACATATAATATATAAAAATTAAACTACTAAAATTCAATCAAAGAAAATCTAATTCAATAAGAAATTTTAAAATATTAAAAAAATTATTTATTTAATTCAATAAAGGAAAATATAATTAGAGAATAAAATAATAATAACAATATAATAGGCAATACTAAAATTCAATAAATAAAAATCTAATTAGAAAAGAAAATATAAGCATTGTATGATTTATTTAATAATATAGAAAATACTACTAATAATAATAGTAGTAGTCAGAAATATAATTACACAAGAAAATCTAAAATATTTTAAAACCGAATTACTAAAATTCAATAAAAGAGAATATTAATTAGATAAGGAAATATATAATTGATGTGACCTTTGTGTGTGCACAAAATAATGTACTTTTGAATATTTAAAAATGTGCTAAATGGGTATCAACTTTTACAATTTATAAAAGCCACTTAACACTTATACAATT